ACACGGACATTCAGTGATGAAATTACCAGATTTGTTAGATTAGAAAAACACTTCAGATTTATAAGTATGTCCATGAGCATGAAGTAAATAGAATTGTTTGATGTTTAGTATACATGATAAGAAACATCTTTTACTGTAACATTTTTAACAGATCAAGAAGTTCCAAACAGAATACCAACAAGGTTTGGCTATCTTCAAAGAAACAAGAAAAATGATACAATATTAAAATTTGATAGATACAGCACTATACAGAGATATACGCTCTGTAAAAATGGTATAAACTGCTTTTGTATTAAAGCGAGTTCTTCATATTGTTTAGTTTACATCAACAGAAAGAAAATGTGAAGTAATGTCAGAACAACGCTTGCGTACGATGAATAATCATCTTAACCAGATGATATTAAATATAATATTTAAGTCAAAATCTATAAAAGTGTTTGCAGAATATGTCTGAATTTCATTTTATTTTTCTTATTTTGAGGACTACGCTTCGGTACTAATTCCACTGAAAGATAATTACATTTGAAATATGTAATTTCACTCAGCTTCTGTATTACCAATTATGTTGATACGATATACGAAAGTACGGTTACACATACACGATAACTATTCTGAATAACTGATACTAACATGTATTTATTTTTGTCTCTTATCATGAAAATAAAGAATATAACTCTCATAATTGATTTATTTCATCCTATGACAAACACATTATGTTTTTATATAGATTATATGAAACATAATACGGAAGGATAAATTAAACTTTGAGCATCTTATAAAAATACATGTAATGATACTAAATGCTTTAATTCCATCGTACTTTTTGTTTTAGATGAAACAACAGAATCAACCACTTCTAAAACAACAAACGAGAGTGTTATTTTAGGATCAATGGAACATTCTTGTGATTATAAATCTACTTCTATTGCTAGAACTAAGTAACTGAAAACTACTTAAAGATGAAACGACGACCGATCGGAAATTGAACATAATTCATAAGTAAAACAAAAGGTTAAAACGACAAGTTTGAAAGATTCCTTTTTTATATTGATTGATTAAAATAGTTTATGTTTATATTATAAGTGATTCTTAAATATCTACTTTTTTTAGACTCAGATATTGGGATACCTGTTGGTGTTTCGGTCGCCACTTTCATCACTGTTGTTACTGTTGTTGGGGGAGTTATCCTTCTAAAAAGAGGGTAATTTTTCACTTATATGCACATTTTGCAATACCATTTTGCTATTATTTCAAGTTTTCAGTAATATGAGGAGCAAAGTTATCGTTATTTTAGGAAACACAACTCGAACAAAATGACATTGAATAAAAATCATAATTATTCCGAAGAATAATAATAATCGCTTTATAAAGTCGCAATTTCTGACAATGGGTAAAATTCAAATAGAAGCTATCGTTTATTAGGCTTTTCTTTGCTTATATTGTTAAAAAAGAATTATTGATGATAAATATCAAATCGCTTTTTATTCTAACATGTGAAACTAATGTTGATAATGATATTGAATTGTTTTCAGTATAAAAAAGTAAGTAACTCGTTACATTATATTAAGATCTCATTTGATTCTGAGCCGAATTTTGTTTAAATTGAAATGTACTTGTATTAAGATGTACCTTTCCTGAAAGAAAAAAAAAATCTTAGTTAGTGAGGAGAATATATTCAAACGTTTACATAAGGCGCGTCAATTTCATTTTTATATATTTACATTTTAGCGGGATGATGCCGAGGATGTGTAACAGATTATCGATATTTGTTATATCTCAAAAATGCATCATGGATACACCCTTAGACAACAAAAATGTATATGAAATATCTTCTGACTCTCCTAATGAAACGACATATGATGTTATTACGTAAGACATTACCATAGTAACGGAAGTGGCGGAAGAAAACTGACATTATGCACATAATTACATCATACTTGAAACGAATAAATCTAATTATAATACAAGAGGAACATCGCTGATTTCAGGACATATATGGATAATTTGTTTTAACATTTGAACTTGTATGTACCATTTTGGAATATTTTTGACGACAGACCAGGGTCCCGGTAAAGCTTTCCTGTTTTATGTTATTTTGTAAAATGTCTGACAAATATTAATCATACTATTTCTTTCCTTTTATAGGACATAGGCGATTCAGAAATAAATCTTCATTCGCTATTTCTATATACAGAATCCGTATTTGCACGAATACGGAATTTCGTATTTTAGATGTATACGGACTTGTTATAAAAATTCCGTATATCAGTAAAAACGAACTTCGTATATCAAATTTCCCGTATATTATGAGTGTACGGATCACCGTATATTAGTAATATACGGACTGACATAATATACTGTCTCGTATATCTCCGTATTTCAAGTTTCCCGTATTCTTACCCGTAAATGAATAATATACGGAATTCCGTTCACTTCCGTATATCCATATCTTTTTCACAGTGAGGCCCAACAAAGTACAGTCATTTTAAACGAAAACCTGCCTAAACACACTGCAATTGATATATTATTAAAGATACATGTTGTGTCAAAACAAACGGGCCTTTTATGAAAATATAACAACTAGTTTATTTCCTGTTGAACTTGTTTGATATAGACTTTGATCAATCTACCTGAAAGTTATAAATTAGTTGCACTTAATTATCAAATATTTTACAGTTTAAATGCTCAGTCACACTGAGAATACCAACGTGTCTTTTGTTGATATCCTAAAGTAAGGGACATTTTGGACATTGGAAAAAAATGATCATTTATTATACACTTATTAATTAGTTTTGTTTAATCATATTTTATTGCTATATACATGTATATACAGTACAGATACAAATTTCATATGTATTCTAAACAGCAAAAGCAAACGGGTTGGGCACAAGTTCTTACAACATTAGCGGTCGGCCCCAAAAGACTTATTAATTAAATATCGAGAAATATTGATGAAATAAAACTTGAATATCCTCTATGTATCATAAGTCTTTTCTATTTCAATATCGACGATGCCTTATTTGTTAGGATTTTTTTAGTTTTAGTGTCATAGATAATAATTCACAAAATACAAATAAAAATATACAATATATTTGAAGAAAAGGCTAAGACAACAATAGTACTATTGTAATCAAGATTGTTTTGATTTGGAAGCCATATAATAATATGACAATAAGGAGAATATTATCAGTTGGTCTTTTCATTTTGACGTCTGTTAACGTTCGAAATATTTTGAGAGATAAAATGTGAGAGTTAACCGCCCTGTATAATATACTCAGCAAAAACTTCAATTCAGAAAATCTCAATTTCATTGACCAACTTTTTGAATTATTTTTTTTAAATCTATAATAAATGGGTTCCAGGATAAGAAAAGGAAATTCCAGATGCCTTTTTCCGGGGGTCGACCTAAAAGCACTTTAGCAACAAAACATTTAAATACAGAGAGAGTGTTTTGGTCGATATAGGGGAATTATTCCCCTATCTTTTAACATAGAGTAAAACAGAATCCCTAAAGAAAGTCCAACACGCCACAATTGAAAATGTTGCAGGCTCGGTTTGTTTGAGCCTGTTCATTGACGGTACTGGAAAATGCAAGTTACCGTCCATGCCCGCTAGCACCGGACTAAGCAGAATTAATCATTTAAACAAGAAAATGGTAAAGTTTTGAATTTAGAAACAACCGCAGATGAGTTCATACGGCGGTCATCATGAAACCTTCAATGTGACACAGTAGTGCCATTCCATGAAAAACGTGTATATGTGTACAATTTCTTAAAGCTGAAAATGCATTTTGTGTTTGTTGGCATAGACTGTTTATTTAAAAAATAATTTATATTATTATAAAGACCTTTGCAAATTTGATATGGTAAATAAGTTTTTCATGATATAGAATCATGATTGGCGTTATTCATTTCCACTGGACGGCAATTCTACTTTAAAATTATTGGATAAAAACTACCCGTACCAAAAGGAAAGGTTTGCCGCAAACTCGCCGCAACTTTGCCGCAAATTCGCTGCAAACCTTTTAGTTCGCCAAAACACTGTGTCAAGTGTTTGCCAGATATCGCCACTAGTGGCAACTCTGTGGCAAACATTTGGCGACTTTGCGGCGAATTCACCAGAATATTAAGTAGTTCGCCAAAAGTTTGCCAGAAACTTTCAGTGGAAAACTAATTTGCCAGAGATTGCCAGAATCTTTCTATCAAAAAAATTATTCGCTGAAAGTTCACCAGAAACTTTTTCTATAAAAACAAGTTTGCCAGATAATCGCCACAAACATATCAGTTCTGAAAGTTAATCCAACTTTGTTCAGTAAATAACTATTTTGCCAAGGAATTATATTTATTATGCACATATAAAAAAAGTCCTTCATGTACCTACCTATAACCACGGATTTAAATGTCAATTAAAGTCCCGTGCTATAACCTACCTACCTACCCAACCTTATTTTTATGGGTCGGAAGTGGAAACAAACAAATTTTTATTTTTTGCCTAAGAGTTATCAAATTGAAACATCATATGTATCATGGAGGGTATTGTAGTTCACAATAACAGTTAAAAATTATAGGTAGAAGACCCATAATGAAATCGGCAATCTTCGACAATTACCGCCATATTCTCGCCATTTATCGTAACGAACTTCGTTTGTTTACGTATAAAGTCGGAATTCTAATAATAGCGAAATATCCCGGTCACGTGGTAGTATTCCCAAGAAAATGACGTAATTTCCGCAGATATCTAACATGGCGTCTTACAGCGTGATACGCTCGGTCGATTTCAAAAAAGGTGTAAAAAGATGCAGAAAACTCAAGTATTCCGATTTATTATAGAACATAACTATAGTGCAGGTAACCAGTATTACGTGTCAACCAAAACCAGCTCTACAAGACATCAGCTCTTTCCTAAATCGGTTGATAATGAGGGTTGGAAAGAGGGAAGAAGAATCGTTGAGTTTGGCGTGTTTACGGTCAAACCTAAGATTTTGTAAAAAATGTGACTTGGACCAGTTGGCTACCATTAACAGCACTGATTAACTTTTGACAACATGTTAGGTGAATTTAAACAGGGAGTGTCTGGTTATTTGTATGTGAAATGTCGAAACACAGAATGCGGTCATGTGAATTGTGTTCCCTATGGAAAAACACACAGACTCTAGTAGATTGAAGACCTGTGAAAGTTGGAATGCCATGGTTTGTTGTCAACACAAAATTAGGAACAGGTAAGTGATTAATGTATTGCATCATAGTTTACATTAAGTACTATATACTGATAATGAATTCATAGATGTAATGTCTCGTACCAAAATGAATATATCGATACATTATGATTTATCAGTGTTTATTACTTGTCTTCCAATGATGTCAAAACATGTAAAATTATGCGGACCCAAATTTATGTTTCAGATTTATAAATTATTAATTTATTATACAGAATACATGTATCTTGTTTGTGTTTAGCTGTAAAACACTACTCCTTATTGTGAAAGAAGTGGCTAGCCGTACGGCTAGCCAAAAGTTCTAGCCGTACGTGACTCACATACTCCATAAAATTTTGAAAGTAACCGTACGGCTAGCCAATACAGTGTGTCCTGGCTAGTCGTACGTGACTCACGTACGGCTAGAACTTTTGGCTAGCCGTACGGCTAGCCACTTCCTATTGTGAAATGTTTTATAAACTTCCCTCTGAACTGTTTTAATTTCCCAAAGTCACTGAGAAATTTGAAAAAAACAAATGATAAAACGTTGCTAAATTAAATCTTGCAACAATGCAATTTTTAGTAAGACATTACAGAATCCTACATGTACATTATATAAAGACACAGTTTACACTAGGCTGCCAATACACACACAGTCACAGTAGTACTAATATTCAACGTACATGAGGCAGCTAAAAATAGCTCTATATTAATTTATGCAATGTGTTATTATCATGGTTATTGTAAATTACAATCCATGTGAAGTTTTTTTTGACAAAATATTTGTTATACTTTAATGAAATAATTTTGTTTCTTTCATTTTCTTACAGCAATGATTGATAGTGTAGGTGGGCCGATGAGGGTCAACAATTTGTTGTCAACACTAAATATACCAACAATTGGAAATAAAAACATGAAAAGAAAATGGAGAGACGTGTTGGGAAATATCATTGAGACAGCACTGGCTTCTATCTGTCTATGCCGACAGAATCTGCTGCATAAGATCAAGGAAATGGAGTAAGACACATTTACATTTACAATGATATTTTCGAAATAACATGTACTTGAATTGGAAGAATTTCAAAAATTATTTTGTAATTATATGTCTATGCAGCTTATCATGGTATAATCCTATATTGCTGGCACACTCTTTGGTTTAGGGAACCAAAGAATATTTATACAATCCATATATGAGAAAAGAATTTTTTAAACAATGGCTTTGTTGTTTTTGCATGTTACTCTATATTCATGTACATATTTTTTTTTTCAAAATAACATGAATTGTTTTTTAAAAAAAGTATTTATTTCTACATGACAAACTGGGTCCGCCTGGGCTCTTTGCCATTGGTACTTGTTGCTGGTCATATATGGGGGTTTGCGTTCATTGAACGCCGCCTTTCCTTGTTGATCTTGTTTATCATATTTTTACCTTCATTGGTTTAAGACTAAAATTCATATTAAATACATGCATTCTTTTTAAGGGATGTGCATCATGAAGAATCAATGGTATCAGAACACAACATCATGGAAGATCTTATTGACAAGATCTCGGAGGATGTCCTTTGCCAGATGTTTGCCAGCACTAAAGTGAGTACTGGTAGTTTGTTTTCTGTATTTTGTTTATTTACGAAAGTAAAGGACTATGCAAAACTGACTGGTGTTGTTGAACTGTTTGTGTTATGTCAGTTGCTTCAATATATGAATATCTCTCCATATACTGTTTGTACATATGTATTTTTTTTTATTCAAGGTCATATTCATCAGTCAAATGCTACAGTTACAAATGACAGTGAATGGTCAGATTTATACAATTGTGATGAACAATCCTCAACAATACATCAAACAAAAATGCCTATTAAACTGTAAGTTGAAATCTATGAGGTTTTTTATATATATTTTATAATCATGATGTAGCAATTAAATGATAATACTGTTGCGATAATTTTGTAAATGCTATTTGGCGTCGACTTCAATAGAAACAATTTGATGTATCTCATGTGATGAATAATCGATATGCAGTCCGAATTATTTCAATAAAAGTGATTACTAAAATTGGTCAGGAAAAAGTCGTGCAATTAGCATTAATAATTAACAAAACTTATTCTAGTAACTGTATGAACATTGTGTTACATTAAATATAAATATGTTATTGTCAATTCATCGGTGTTCAATCTTCAATATTTGTCAATATTACGTTTAAAGATGAATTTTAAAATACAGAAAATATTTTTGAAATATATTTTTACAATTACAGTTCTCACAGACAGTCAAAGGTTGAAAACAAATCAGGAAGTGTCCACATCTTAAAAAACCTCACAGCAGAAATTAAGACTTTCCCCGAAATTTCCCTGTAAAACCCGCAGTGGTACAAATGTATGTCCAGTGCAGTAGATACTGCCTGGCACAAAGAGGATTTGACAGTTTAACATGTAAGTAAAATAAGATTATTTTTATCCCCCCACAATGTGGGAGCATATAGCGTGGGCACTTGTCAGTCTGTCCCAAAATCTTGTGAACGCAACTCCTCTTAAACCGGATGGCAGATTTTGCTTAAACTTCCAGGATTAACAAACTTAATGTGTAGATGGTAGTAAAGGAAGGAATTTTTGCTGCAACTAAATTAACAGAATAATGGCCCTTTGTTGTTTTTTTAGATTTCAACTTGTGGCACATGTAGTCCCAAAACTATTTGACCCTAGAGTCATAAGATTGACAGAACAGTGGCGTGTGGGGGCATCCATGTTTTATTGACACATTTCAAGTTTTTCTCAGTCCATCAGTCATCATGTCAGTAATGATTTAGAATTTGTCAGAAAAGTATCTGTGTATATTTTAAACCACTGTAAAAGTGAGTTTTGCATTACAAGTAAGACTGGTTAGTTCAACATTGTTTTTTCAAACAGTGGCATTTAGAAGAAAAATCCTAATGGTTATTTGAATTACCCCTGGTTTTAACTTTGAGTTCTGACCTAGCTGTCATGTTCACAGCATGGTTCATTTTTGTGTCGCCTCTATGGAGTAGTTGCAACATATAGGGATCATTTCTCCGTCGTCTTGTCTATCTGTCCGTCCGTCACAAAACTTGTCCGGACTACTCCTCATAAACTACTGGTGCAATTTCATCCAAACTTTACAGGAATGATCAGTACCAAGTCTAGTTGTGCATTTTGTCAGCATTTTCCGGTTCAATGATTTTTAGCTCACCTGTCACAAAGTGACAGGGTGAGCTTTTGTGATCGCTTTTCGTCCGGCGTCCGTCCGTCCGTCCGTCCGGCGTCCGTCCATAAACTTTTGCTTTAAATGACATCTCCTCATAAACCACTGAGCCAATTTCATCCAAACTTCACAGGAATGTTCCTTTGGTGGTCACCTTTAAAAATTGTTCAAAGAATTTAATTCCATGCCGAACTCTGGTTGCCATGGCAACCGAAAGAAAAATCTTTAAATATCTTCTTTTAAACAACCCTAAGAGCTAGAGCTTAGATATTAGGCATGAAACATCTTCTAGTAAGTGTCTACCAAGTTTGTTCAAATAAAAGCCCTGGGGTCAAAATTGGCCCCGCCCCGGGGGGTCATTGATTTTCCCTATATGCATATAGTAAAAACTTAAAAAATCTTCTTTTAAAGAACCGTAAGAGCTAGAGCTTAGATATTAAGAATGAAACATCTTCTAGTGAATGTCTACCAAGTTTGTTCAAATAAAAGCCCTGGGGTCAAAATTGGCCCCGCCCCGGGGGGTCATTGATTTTCCCTATATGCATATAGTAAAAACTTAAAAAATCTTCTTTTAAAGAACCCAAAGAGCTAGAGCTAAGATATTACGCATGAAACATCTTCTAGTGAGTGTCTACCAAGTTTGTTCAAATTAAAGCCCTGGGGTCAAAATTGGCCCGGCCCCGGGGGGGGGTCATTGATTTTCCCTAAATGCATATAGTAAAAACTTAAAAAAATCTTCTTTTAAAGAACCATAAGAGCTAGAGCTTAGATATTTGGCATAAAACATCACCTAGTGAATGTCTACCTAGTTTGTTCAAATAAAAGCCCTGGGGTCAAAATTGACCCCGCCCCAGGGGGTCATAGATTTTCTAAATATGCATATAGTAAAAACTTAAAAAATCTTCTTTTAAAGAACCCAAAGAGCTAGAGCTAAGATATTTAGCATGAAACATCTTCTAATGAGTGTCTACCAAGTTTGTTCAAATAAAAGCCCTGGGGTCAAAATTGGCCCCGCCCCAGGGGGTCATTGATTTTCCCTATATGCATATAGTAAAAACTTAAAAAATACTTCTTTTAAAGAACTCAATAAGCTAGAGCTAAGATATTTAGCATGAAACATGTTCTAATGAGTGTCTACCAAGTATGTTCAAATAAAAGCCCTTGGGTCAAAACTGGCCCGCCGGGGGGGGGCCTATATACAGATGAGCGACCTCAGGGCCATCATGGCCCTCTTGTTGTCAGAGTTATGGCCCTTTAATAATTTTTATTTTTAAAGTTTGTCTTGACTACTTCTCTTATACCACTAATGCAATTTCAATGAAACTTTACAGGGTTGATCTGTAGCTTAAGTCCTTGTGCATATTTCATGGGTTTTCCGGTTGAATGATTTTTGGCCGAGTTATGGCCCTTTGATAAAAAGGTGTTTTTTTCTGTGTGTTGCCAGATACACAAAAGCTTGTCCTGACTACTCCTCATAAACTACTGGTGCAATTTCATCCAAACTTTACAGGAATGATCAGTACCAAGTCTAGTTGTGCATATTGTCAGCATTTTCCGGTTCAATGATTTTTGTCAGAGGTATGGCCCTTTTTTTAAGTTTGTCCGGACTACATCTCTATC